AAGAAAAGGGAGAGGCAAGTGAAGCGACTGGAAGTCAAGAAGCTTCCTTCCTCTTTCTCTCGTTTACCTGATCGCAAAAAAAACTTCAAATATGCCTTAAAATGTCATGACCTCAAGGTCTCACATGGCGCAGGTGACTGTGAGCTAGCGTGTTGCGTGGTGCTAGTTCTATTCCCAGCGAACATCCTGGTTTTTCGCTGGTAAAGCTTTAAAATTTCCAGTTGTGTTTGCAAATTCCCAAGGCTGAAAATTGTCTTCTGCTATTCTTGGATGTCATTTATTGTCTTCCACCAATTAAGTGATAATCGTTGTGCGTTTTCTTAAACTCCAATGGATTGCTTGCGTAGTTTCGGTCATCGGGATCTTTCTCAGAAGCTTACGCTGTTTGATGAAAAGTTTGAGGCTTTTTTTCAAATGCTTGGGGCTCTTTTCATTCAGCGAGTTTGTTTTTGCGGCAGCGGTAAGACCCTAATTGTCGATAGGAATAAGGACAGTAGTGTGTGGAGAAGGCATTTTCGATGCAAAAAGAGGGTTTGCAGGAAAAGTTAGGGTTCCAAGTGTGGACGTTTTTTAAAAGAGGAATTTTGAAGCCAAAAGAGGTTTTTTATTCATTTTACTGTTGGACACAGGTTCGCATGCCAGTATACGACCGAATTGCACTGGAAATGCGCCTGGAAACTGGCAGTACGATAAGCTCCGCCACTATCGTTTTTTATTTTAAAGCCTTCCGGGATGTATGCGTCTCTTACTTTAACGCGCATCCTGTTAAGTTAGGCGGACCAGGCAAAGTCGTCACGATTGATGAGACGGCTTTGGCCCGCAGAAAAAATAATAAAGGAAGGCATGTTCCACATTAGTGGAGTTTTGGAGGGATTGAGAGGGGAGCAATAAGTGCTTAATTGTTGCAGTTGAGCACAGGGATGCTGCTACCCTTGTGCCACTTGTCCAGCAGTATATCCCCCCGGGGTACTATTATTATGTCGGATAAGTGGGCAGCTTATAACGACATTCAAGGCCTGCCTGAAGGGTACCAGCATGTTACGGTAAGTCATAAACTGCACTTTATTGATCCTCTCAGCGATGCCTGCACAAACACCATACAGTCACTATGGCAAAAATTTAAGGAGGGCAAAAGAAGCGGCATGGGACTTTACGGACTTTGTGGCCAGCTATCTTGCACAGTTCATGTGGAAGAAGCTGTTTAAGGAGGACCCGTTCTACCATCGATAGTCTCAAATTTCTGAATTCTACTCTGCCTCAGCTCTTCCTCAGGAAATGTAGGGTCGGAGAAAGCTCTTTGCTCGCCAATGCACCTTTCAGTGCAGTCCAATTTTTGGAGAGTCCTTCTGATGAGGGACGCTAGTGGAAAATTCGAGCTGCTTTTGTATGCAAAGCACACATCAGCAGCATTCAGTCAGTCGGAGATTCGGTAATTGAAAAAATATGGTTCAGCAACACTTGAGTGCCCCAATCTCTACCGCGCGAAGCCCGCTACCACTTTATAACATCAGTTAAACTTTTTATGCAACACATTCCGTACTGGATTGACAGTGTACAGCAGCCTACATGCATTCTTCCTATCTCTTTGTGAGATGCACTTGTCAACTCAGCCACTGCAGCATCCCGCGCAAACCCGTCGGCAGTTGAACGGTCATATTTATAAAAGGAATCGTTTAAAAAACGTACTTTACTCATGCTCCGTGTCAGCAGTCACAGCAACCACATGTCGCTCGCTCGCTCCTAGCTCAAGCAGGGTGCTACTCGCTAGTGCCTTGCCTGGGCTGGTGGCTCCATCTCCGCCCCGATTCCCAAACAGACCCTGCCCACCGGGCGGAGAAAAAAAGGAGGCCACCACGCTAAATGAGCTCGTACTGATTACCGTTTGGTAGTTTATGCTAAAGTCCCAGA